GGTAATTGAGAAATTAACATTATAGAGGAAATAACTTAAAAGTTAAAAGTATAGGAGATAATTTTTATTTATAAAACTTTACATTTTCATTCCACCCCTGCAATCATCAGTCTACTACTAGGTCGATAAAGTAGTTACCAAAAGATAACAGGATTTAATAGTGTGGTGAGCAGAGATGAGTAGAGTTAGCAAAATGACGAACACAATTCATGAAAGCAACATCAAGCACAGCAGATGCACATCTATTCTTCGATCTTCAATTGAATGTTACTAGACGCAGTCAAATATTGTCGAACACAGCCGAATACTGCCAAACGTAACCAAATGCTGTCGAATGTAGCCGAATGCTAGCAAATATAACCAAATGTTATACGCGTTAATCACCATTGAAAGAAAGCAACGTTCTTGTTTTTAACGAATAGTTATTATACACTGCTTTCCTTAAAGCTCTCTTCGTTTCTGACCATAAACATTCACATTCCAGTACACAGTTGATTGTGTAGATACGTACCTCGTAAAGCAATTATGTTATTAACCTCGTGTTCATATAAATAAATTATAACACACAGAGTGTTTCGCTAATACTATTTACTTATAAAATCTGAATTATTTCAAATAATAAATAAACGTATTACTTGTAAAAGTTGAAAAGTTAAAAAAATGCTGTGATATATGCATTTTTAGATAAAGACATAGAAAATATGGATATTAATTTTATTTTATAATATTAAGTGAAATGTCTAATTATTTATACTAAAATTTGATAGAACAGTAAATTTTGTATTATACTACATACGTCAATTTTTTTTTTTTTATTCTATACATGACATACATCGATATCTTGTAATAATATTTTTTGAATATCCTTTAAATATGTTTAAATAAATATAAACCATCAGTGACTTAATTTCAATCAACAAAATTTTTGGAAAATGTTTTCAATTTGTCAACGATCTAAACAACCAGAAGAAAAATTTAATTTGTTGTCCGAAACGTAAGTTTCTTTCTTAGTTAGGTTAGATAAATTGTGTATTCGTTTTTTAAATCCAGGTTATATAAAAAAAATGAATCATAAAATAATTTTCGTATTAACCGTCCCATTAAATATCATCCTTTTTATGATATAGAAATAAATAAATATATTTATAAATATAACTAGATATATATTGCATTAAAAAAGGCGAAGAACATTATTAAATTATAAATCAGTTTTCCCAATTGCAGAGAAAGCAAAAATATTTGTTGCAAATGAAGATTTGCAATTGGATAATGTTGAAATTTTTTATAAAAATAATACTGAATAGAGAAAAAATATAAAAATATGAACAGAAAGTTACTTGTGAATTTTTATAATTTTCATATGCAATTCTAACTTCAAACAAAACTTTTTAATTTCAATATGTAATATTATTATTTAAATACATCATATAATTTTTATAGTATTATCCAATCAATATTGTTTAATATTATATATCCCGTTTCAAACTGAAATTTTGTAAGATTTATTCCTTCACCCTTCTCTCTGATAGTTTCATCTCTATCAGCTACTGGAATCTCTTAGAACTATAGCCCTACTTATATTTGATCAATGCTCAATTTTTCATATCAGCTTTGAAAATGATACAGGTTTTGCACTTTCAGTTTATCCTTTTGCAAAGCAAGTACTTCTACATAAATATTTTATTTAAAAAAACATCAAATATAAATTGGACAGTAAGAAATTAAATATATTATTAAAAAGAGGTACATTGGACATTTATTAAAAAGTTATTACCAATTTATTAAAGTACATATGTATTGTGTACCACCACATTCTTCAACGATGAACCTCGTTGAGGAAGCCCTTCCCAATGAAAAATTTTGTATAAGAAATATGTTAACTAATTCTTTATATTGAAAACATTAGGTAGATGTAATGAATAACTGTGTTGCAACTGTTACTTCCACAAATTATTATAATTATTACATGAATACGTATGTCAAATTACTAGTAGTGGCTGTAGGGGAACTATTATTGTCTAGGCTATGTATATACATATATATTTATCTATATATATGTAATACACATGTTTAATGTAATTATAATATATGTATTTGCAATACATATATGTTTTAATGAATTGGTAATTACTGTTAAATAAATATCTAATCATATACATGTAGGAATATGTGTGATTGACATAAAAAGCAGATGTTATTAAATTCTAATATGTATTTATTATGAGCTAAAGGAAATTAAGAGTAAAATACAACTGATTTATGATTTCTTAATTACGCATCTGATCGGCATTCTCTCGTTTTTCTTTCTAACTCCTGATATAATCTGACCTTTCTTCATTATTCACTCGCCTTTTATTCACTCGCATACGTACTATATGCACATTACTTCGCCTTTCGCGATCCTAACCTAAACATCCTTTCGCGCCAACAATTGTTTAATTTCGGCGCCTTTCCATTGCGACACAAGTGATCCCGCTTCTACATACATCTTTTTAATCATATTTTTAATTTCTTACTGGCTAATTTATATTCCATGTTTTTTTAAATAAAATATTTATGTATTTGATTTGCAAAAAGGCTGAATTTGATTTGCAAAAGGATGAATTTGACTTTCAAAAGGATGAATCTGACTTGCAAAAGGATGAATCTGATTTGCAAAAGGATGAATCTGATTTGCAAAAGGATGAATTTAAAGTGTAAAACCTGTATCATCAAAATGCATGATAGATCGATGAAATAATTTCAATCGGGTATTCTTTTTATAGTAAAAAATCTGTAATCCTCAGCGAACAAGGAGAACATCCAAAGAAAGGAACCAAGAAGTCGAGTACTGTACGTAGATACGCTTCATTAACAACAAGAAGAGCCCTTTTGAAGCAACTTTTCGATCGCGAAGCGATTGAAATAGAAAATTTGTTGCGTGCCATGGGATACGCTTTTATTCCTACACATCCTTAATCATATTTTATATACATATATAAGAGCAATCCCGGATTAATTCTCGTAGTGTGTATCATACTGGTGGTGGTCGGGTCTCGTATGACTCACGCTAGTGTAATAGTCCCCAAGAATTCTAATACCAAACCTAACTTCCCCTATCTGCAAATCACCAACACTCTGCCCAGTTCTCATGCTGTAGTCAAAACCAGATGTATTAACCTAAAACTAGCCCTTTCTTCATAGACACCCTACCCTGATTTCACGCGCTACACTCAAAATTAAATGTATTACTTTAACTTTAAAAACTAATTTTTCTCCGACAATCATAAACATCCTTCCCCACTTTCTCGAACCACAAATTTATATATGAATAAAATTATTCTACTAAAACAAAACTTTTGTAATGCTGTGAGCAATAAAAACTACGAACTATTACAAAGTCCAAGAAAATGAGATTATTCTTTTTTCAAGTTTTACGTGGTCAGAAGTAATAACGAAGGGAACTGTAACTCACAAGATGATATGTACACAGTATATTGAATTTGTTTTAAATTTATTTATGACATTTGTTAAAGAATTTAATAAAGCAGAATGTTTAAATATGGTATTTTATTACGCTGAAGATTAAATATTACATTAGAATAGTAATTTCTATAATATTTAATAAATTTGAAATAAAATAGTTTTATTAATTACCTATGTAAAATATACTTTGTAGTAATATTATTTTACTGTAAGTTTAATAGTTTAAAGTTTACTGTTTAAAAAAGGTGAATGAACGTATATTAATCATATTAATCCATAAGATATACATATACAGCTAATATAACTAAATAATTTGGATCCTACTCTTAATTGTACGTTTAATCGTACTTGTTAAATATTTCAAACCATGTCTTTGTTTTGCTTCAATATTAATTTTTTCTACTTATATTTTCTTGAAAGAAATCATATCCTTAGAATTTAATAATAACAACTCAATAGTATTTGTAAATATCAGTACAATTTTAGTTGCTTTTGTTTCCAACTTCAGTCATAATTATCTTACATTTCACAGATGAAGTGTTTCATGACAGTTTACTATATTACCGACTGTAGATAAATAAAACCTTTTATATTATTTATTTGGGACAAGAATGAAAAATATGAGCAAAATTAAAATCACAAGGCATTTCTTCGATAGAAACAACTAGTGCAACGATGCAGTTCTATGCATAACTGCATATTTCATTCCATTCAGACGCCCAGTGTCGGTTTAACTCGAGCTATTACTTATTTGGATATGGCTTTATAGTTGACTGTGTTGCCATAATATGTCATAGATGGCACAACAATATTTCATTTTCCTCGAGTTGGTACTTTACTTTATATGGTTTAAAGTCAGTAACATAAGATTTTAAAAGTTGTACATTACTTGTAGTCATAGTTTTATACTCTTTGTATGGTTGAGAGTATTGCTACCCGTCTTCCATTTTCAAACGTCTCTTTTTAAAATTCTGTCGCGAAGCGGTTAGCAGGACTTCTAGCTTTAGTTTAATATATGTGTGTTTATCTATTGTAGTACAATATTTCATTTATGATGTCAAGTTATCGACATGAATATAAAAAAAATATACCTAATTCTCGAAATATAATCGAGAATCGTTTTAATCGTGCCGAAATGCAAAAAGAATCTCGTAAGAACCAAAGAGTCAACCTTTTTAATGCGAGTAGGAATTTATCAAATCCTTCTCAAAAAATATATAACGAAGGTTTGTGTAACACACTAATTACGTTTCATAAATTGTTCTGTATATTTTTATTATTTATAATTTATTAATGTTTTAATTTTAGTGTTCTCAAGCCCCAGAAATGAAGATCGATTCTCTAAATCGACAAAATGGAAAACCCAGTATGATAAACAAAAAAGGCTTGAACAAGCTAAGAAAAAACCACCTTTTGTTGTTGGATTAGTTCATCATAAAATTTATTCACCAGTTTATAATAACGTAAGTGCTGTTTCAACTAAAAAAAGTGATTCTATTTCAAAAAAAATATCAAAAGTAACAGAAAAGAAATTAATGGCTAGAAAAGGATTAATTAATAATCCAAAAACTTTAAATAATGAGCAAAGAAATCAAAGGACACATGGCCAATCTTTTATTTCCAACAATTCCAAAGACAAATTATCATGTAATTTTTTAACTCCCAAGGTGATTATAGAAAAACTGTCACCTATTAAAATAATGCCTTCAGTTTCAAAAAGACAAAGAATTCACAATAGAATTTCTAATTATAAAAGTGGTACTAATGAAAAACAGCAATTACAATATGATTCTTGTCTTAGTCATTCCTTGAATGGCAAATCTATAAAAGATGCTGTCATAGAAAGTTTGAATATTTCAGTTCAAGAAGACAAACTTAGTACACAATATTTTCAATCTCTTTTAAATAAAGAAACAAATAGATTAAATAAATTGTGTGAAAAATGGATGAAAATTAAAACAGCACCTGGCATTCCAAAAGATGGGCAGTATCAAATAAACCAAGCTATTGGCCAAACAAATTTATTAATGACTAAAAAATTCGAAAAATTTCATGAATTAATTATTGATTATGAAACAGGAGAAGGAGAAATGTTAGTTACATGTGAAGATTTGCAGGGATTTTGGGATATGACATATATGGAAGTAAAAAATTGTGATTCACGATTTGATAAATTGGAGAAACTTTGTTCACAAGATTGGAAAGAAGAGGAGTTGCCTATAGCAGTTTCTAAAAAAAAGACTATTGTTAGAAAGAAAGTTGTATCTAATAAAACAAGTTCTATTAGAGCTTTCTTAGCAGAAAAAAAAAAGAAAATTGCAGAGAAAATAGGAAATGATGGTGATACAAATAAACTTCAATCTAATATAAATCAAGTAGTAAATAATAGATCAAAAAATGACAGAAGCCACAGTCCAAAGCGTAAAACAAAATCTATGATCATTGGTCCTAGTGAAAATAAAACTACACATATGCAACGTGATAAAAGATTAAGTTTAATTCAAAAGAAACAATTATCCGAAAGATCAAAAAAAATAGATAGTCCATTAACATTAATGAAAATAAGTCAAATGTCTAAAACACCAAGAGTTCAATTATATAATTTTAAATCCTATGTTAAGTCTAATCAAACACCAGGAAAGAGTATATTGAAAAAAAGTACAATATCCACTAAAGTACAATATCCAGAGGTTAAAAATGAAGTTAATTTTGATGATCATATAATTTTAAATGAAGTGTCAATTGATGAAAAGACTCAAACAAAAAAGGATTTAGATGTAGTAATATCAAAAGCTAATAGTTCTGATGCAGATTCCTTTGGTAAAGTATCAGTTAATGTGAAAAAGAAACTTGCCTTTGAAGATAATAGTTTTGAAAAACCAATATTTAATATGGAACAAAACGAGGTAAAGGAAAGTCCTACAAATAAAAAGATTTATAAATTACCATATATATGCATACAACCAGTAATACCATTACAGGAATCAAATGAAAATCTTATTATACCACGTAGGAGTACTAGGAGACAAAATATTGATTATGAATATACTCAGACGATAAATCAAATTTCACCATTGAACACAAATATTTCCATGTTATTTGAAGAAACTACAAATGACATAGATTTAAGTGTATCGGAAAAAGAAATACAAAAAAACGTTTCTGTAACTGGAAAGGAAAAAATAGACGAATATAATAACAGCATAAGAGTTTTGAGAAATAGAACTATTACTTCAATGGATACTCCTATAAATAAAAGAAGATCTAGAAAAAAGTCCATCAATATACAAGATGTAAAGGATAAAGAAAATAAAACTCCTTTATCGAGAAGAAGAACAATGAATGCTTTTCAAGATAATGTTGATGATAATGAAAGGATGGATACAGGTAGTTATGATGATATTACATATTTTGAGAAAGATAGGAGAAGAAGATCAACTAGATGTATAAAATTTTCAGGTACAGATAATTTTGAATAAACATTTCTTTCTTTTAAATTCAGTGTTTAATCGAAGAAATTGCCTTTCAGTAAAAGAATGCTCTGTCTGTAATCCAAATAAACCGGTCCTACCTGTAACTCCCTATGTTAGAAGAAGTAAAGCACATTCGAACAACAAAAAAGAGAGTAATACATATACAGAAGACTGTGTTTCTTTGAAAGTGCAAGAGAAGTGTAATTATTTTATTTTAAGCGTTTATTCGTGATTATGTTTATTTATTATATTTATGTATTTATATATTTTTATTTCAGCTTTGGAATAAATCAGAAGATCTCAAACCAAAGATGTACAATCTCTAATCAAATATTGAATTATATTGAACTTTTTAAATTGATATATAAAAGTATGAAGTGTTTATTATTTTTAATAATTTGAGTAATTATTCATGTTTTTATCCATAAGATTTAATAATATCGATATGTATTGTTTCTAATGTAATTACCTTTTTATTTGTGTAACCTTTATGATTCTGATATTAACACGTTGAGTGCTACGCCAGTCCTTGGGACTGACAGTGAACTTTTCATTTCGTCAACATCGGTGCGTAAGACTGGCATTGTCAAGAGTTAAATTATGACAATAATTAATATATTGTAAAAACTAAATTCCCTCTGCTGAAGTAAATCTTTACACTTCCTTGGCTTTTTCTGACTGATCGTCTCTTGATAATTGCCATTTTACCTTTCTGGCATTCCCCATCCTATTAATTTCTGTTTATAATTTGTAAATTTGTGCATTGGCTGCACCATTCTCACAGTCCAAACGACAAAGTGAAACAAAGTAATTTTCTGCTCATACTCTTCAGCATACTTGAGCGCTCGACATGAAGTGCTCATTCGCTGCAGCCGATCGCAAAAAAATATAGCAAAATCGGCACCGCACTCAACGTGTTAATATGTATTAGACTAAATGTGACTAAACTGAATAACATTGTTTTAAAGAAAAAAACAGTCATATGTATGCAAGGTCTGTAAATTCGTGTGTATATAATATTCATGTACACTAATAAAACTTATTTCCTGTTAAAGTAATATGTATGTATATATTTAGAAAGTTATTAAAATATGTATACGTTGGATTACATAATATTTGGACAATTGTATTTTTTAGTCACGCATATTTTTTATTTGGTTAGATAAAGTTCATATCAGGTTAGGTACTTTTGTTTAGTTCTTTAGTTTTTCGAAGTAATACTAGGTGCCGTTAAAATCCATGAAGATATTTCAGTCTTGAGTAACTCATACTGGATAGACTTCTAGGATAGATAGTTATTTAGGATAAACTCCCATTCCTTTTAGACGCAGTGAGTTCCTATTTTCTTAAGAATTTCTACTGTTTTCAAAAACAAAATATGATGAAATTGTTGTGAATGTGATTGTTTCTATTCCTTGTTCATTATATTAAAAGAATATTGTCCTTGACCAAGTGGTAAGTTAGTGATGAAGATTTTCCTTGATCCTATGTAAATAAAACGGAATCAAATGGTAGAAGAGTGACACAAACCTTCGAAACTATGTTCGACAAACTTTAATAAAAATGTAAGTTACATAAAATAACTTGTATTAATTTATTATTAATATAAACGTGAATTATTACTTAATGAACACTAAATTCTGTTACAATTGTGTTCTAACATACTATGAAAAAGGATATAATAATGTGTTCTTATATTAGTTTAATTCTAGAAATAAATCACAAAATTAGAAACTTTGCATATATGGTTAATTTCTGATCAAATGAAAATGTATAGTTAAATGTATAATAAATTTAAATATTATTGGGATAAAGCTACAGATTCTCTTGTTATAGAAATTTTAATTTAGTCTCCATAATTAGAATTTTGATTCCCTGTTGGGAAGGAAACTATATTTAAGTACAGTTTGTCATCTTGAAGCTAGAGGTTGCTAATAACTGCAACAAATAGATTGTTTAATATTAATATATTAATATAATAATGCAGTATAATAGTGCGATGACAAATAACAGATATAAGACTCAAAGAATAGATGTATATGAATATGAACCTTTCAAGTCATGTGACGTTATTGAGGGTTACATATTTACATAATTTTACACATATTTCTATTAGTAATGTATATTCACAAACATACTCATACATGAATATAGTTTTGTAGTATTGTGAGGAAAAATCTAGAATTTTAACAATATAGTATAAACAAAAATTTATTTTAATCTTTAAAAAATCATAAATTTACATTGAAATAAAATTTACATTGAATGTACCAATTTAATTTCATATTCTGTTAATAATTTAAAGAAATATTAGGATACAACTTAACATATGTAATAAATGATAACAATATAAACATGCATTATAAGTGTAAATATTCTTTGTAGATATTCTTTGTATTTTACAAATGTATTTCATAACAATATCTACTAAAGTATATGTACGTATTAATATACTGTGTACGATTTTAACGAACTATGTTAGAGTTTGGGACACATACATCGGTTATTGACATTTAATGGTATGAAGGTATTTGTCAAAGTGCATTACTTGAAGATAAGAAATACCAATATTCAAGGCAAGGAGAATATTCCAATTTACTGCTGGAAATTTCAATAATTGTTAAGTAATAAACAATTAATCCAAATAAATTGTCAAAAAGAGTACTTAATTTATAACATTTTATTATTAAGTCGATTAATTAATTATCAATATTTTTTAAATGTCATTTAGGCTTCAATAAATAGTTTAACTTTTGCCAATCCATTAGCCCTTGTTATAATAACTTAGAGAAATAAAGACAATAATTTCTTTCTGCAATCACATGAGTTCAAGGCATCATAGGACAAATTTTTGCCAACATTATAGTTTTTATACAAATTTCATTTTCTCTTTTTTTCTGCACTTTGCTTCTATGTAAACTATAAGTTTGAAATACACAATATTTTGTAAAGTATCTTAATGCAATATAGAAGATTTAATAATTTCATATGAATAGTATACATAATGCTATACGTAAAGTATATATAGATTGGACCACCTAACACAGTCATCTTAATTATTTTCATTGTGACTGGACCCATTCAACATTTTTTTTCCAAAATTCTAATTCATTTGTTTAAATTATAAATGTGCTCTACTCTGTGATTGGTGAATTCATCTTGATGCCTACTAATTGATACACAGAAGAGAATTGTAAGATTGTACATGAAACTGTTGAAACTGTAGTTGAAAATTTACTTAAATGGAGACAAAAAAAAATGACAAATATCTACCACAGCACCTTTGAGATTCTTGAAAGCATTCTCATCTGTGACAAGAATTTTAATCGGTTCACTAATAATGAAAACAACTGAGGTAACCACGTTAGATAGTTCACTTTGAATAATCCTATTTATATAAAAATTGTACACCGTAATATTTTTTAAACAAAGCATTATGTAAATATTATTATACATTGTGTATGCATCCGCATGCATGTACATTCATTTAAACTATTATTGGATGAAAACTTTAAATAAAAATTCGAGGTAGCGTCTTCGAGTAACTTACATGATAATGTTTACTTAACACAATAATGTAAGTTAAAACCATTTACGTTTATTATGTCGTTTAAGTGTTAATTCGATTTCATCTACGTCCTTATCAATATCCTTTTTCAACGTCTTCTTCAATTTTCTGTCCTTTACTTTCTCCTTTTGTTTGTTTTGCTTCCGTTTCTTCTTTTCAGATATATTGATATCATTACTAGACGACTCATTTTTATTCCTGGCTACTGAACAATGATTAATGTAGAATACTTTTTTAATTAGGAAGGACTACTAACAAACATTTCATTTACCAGCAAATAAATCCATGTGATGGTGTATACTCCGATCTTCTTCAATTTCTCTACGACGATCCATTTCTAAACAATCCACAATTTCATTTCGTTTTTCAACAATTTCTACCAACCTACAAACAAAAATATAAGCTTTAAATTTTAATTAACTATATTTTTTTTTAACCCAAAGGAATGGTTAAAAGTCTGAAGCTAACGTGTTGATCGTACAAAATGGAGGAAAGTATGTTCTTATAAGGTGTCCCAGTTTTATCTGGTATAACATTGATAATATATAGTATCGTACATATAATATTAAGAAAAGAATGTTTTATAAATATAAGCTCTGAAATGAATTATTAAGAAGTTATAATAAAAATAGTGTAGGATATTTTTAGGCATTATTAGGGTACGATGCTCGAAGTGTTCCTATAGGGAACACTTCGCCACGTTTTGAGGACCGTTAGGGTCTAGCTAACAGATGGGTCATAGGAGGTCGGGGCCAGGCCACGTGAGGAGACCTCGCGCAACTCCGGCTTTCTCCGTCATAAACCGAGGTTGACGCATTCGTGGTCACCTCTCGGGAAGGGGCCCCGCGAGGGTGACTCTTCGAAGAGCCTAACCCGGAAGGAGTCTCTTCCACCCCTGAGCTAGACATGGAGGGGGAGTTTTCTCCTCCTTCGGGGGAGGCCCTTGCCTTCCAGACGGGCTTAAAAGGACCCGTTCCGGAAGATAGAAACAGTTCGTTTGAAGTAGTTCCTTAACCCATTTGCATCCAAGCGCGGAATATTCCGCGAACCACGACTGTCGCCTATCACCGAGCGCGGAATATTCCGCGAGCCATGACAGTCATCTATCACCGAGCGCGGAATAATCCGCGAGCTGACTTTTTTCATTACCAGTTGCTGAATATTCTTCATGCTGATACGCGCGCGGTGATACGGGCTAGTCAGTTGAATGTCGCTGACGCCTGAACACGGCACCTTAAGTAGAACCATGATGCAAATGGGTTAAGAATTCAGTTGTTCGGTAAGAGTTGTCAGTTGTTAGTTAGTTTGGAGTCAGTAAGAGTTGTTCCTGAAGAGTCTTTGTTAGTTGCAGTCTTTAAGAGTTAGTTAGAGTTGAGATTAAGTCAGATCCAGTCCCTAGTCTGCGAAAACTTAGAGCTGAAGTACTTTCCAGCGTAGTAGAGACTGTGTGACTCTACAATAGTAATTGACAGAAGTCTCATTTACACAGCATTTTCACTCATTATTGATATCTATTTGATACGAGTTCACGTTTGGCATTTGAAGCGAGCAGTGTGTGATTATGCTCTGTGAAGTTCACGATAGTTATCAAGTAAATAAAGCGAAATTTAAACGAATAGTGACCAAATAGGATCATAGTGCACAACCAATGTTCTCCAAACCATGTGTCCCATCTGTAAAGTGCTAAGCTAAGATCTCACATTTTTGCTTTGTTGTGAACTGTCGACAGTTTGTAGATAAAGTCTTAGATAAGTTTCTAGTAATACAAAATTTACTAGAGGTTCCTGATGTGAATATAATTTTAAATCGTAATAATAAACAAATTATTATGTCACCTATGCATGATGATTGTCATTTTTTGTTACAATTTTCATTTCTTTGTCTTCAAGATCATACGAAGGTCATGGTATGCTAGGTCGTTGAACTCGGTTTTACTATTGAGTGAAAAATATACAGTGCTATTTGAAAAAACGAATTTGACTTTTGAAATTTTGGAAAAAATTTGTTTTTAAATTTTCGGAATTCTAAAGAACACAGAAAATACAGTAACTTCTGTTTAAAACATCGCTTTGTCAGATTATAAGCAAGTACTTGAAAAATCTTGCCTAACGATATGTGGGACACACTATATATATATACATATGTATGTATGTGTGTATGTATTAGTAAGAGGAAATAAAAAGTACCTTTGTATCAATGCTTCTTCCCTTTGTTTGTCAAAATCCGTTTTAGTTGATTCATGTTGAGTCATTAAACATCGAATTTGGAATTCTACTTCAGCGTGTTCTTCTTCTAATCTCTGCTGCCTTCGAAGTAGCATCAGTTCAGCCTGGCGTCTAAATAACTCATTCTTCTCGTTTACCAATGCAAATAACTCTAAAACTAATTCTTCGACGTCTGTTCCAAGGGAAACATCTGTAATGTTTGTAATATTACATATATATTATTATAAAACATATAGCCTGCCATAACACTAGAACTACCGATCTTTAATAGGTACCTAACTATACGCGCACAGATTATAGTAATTTCAGCGATACGATGAATATGAGTGAATATATTGATTACAGTTCTTTCTTAACCCATTTGCATCATGGCCCTACTTGAGGTGCCGTGTCCAAACATCCGCGACGTTCAACCGACGACAGGCCCGTATCACCGCGCGCAGTCGGTCGTATGTGCAGTAAATGACTTAGGAATTCTTCATGGAGTTTATTTAACATGGTACTTTTTAAAACAATTGATACACGATATTACATCGCAAACATTGCATTTTACATTTTTTTATAAAAAAGAAAAGGAAGAAAAATTATTTTATAAATAAAATAAAAAATAAAATAAAATAAAACACGAGCAAAACTTGTTAGGAATATAATGAACCGATGTAGGTGAGATGCTCACAAAAGGGATCAAACGTGATCTGTCGCATACAAAGAATATTCAACGACTGATGATGAAAAAAAAAGTCACAGCTCGCGGATTATTCCGCGCTCGGTGATAGTAGACAGTCGTGGCTTGCGGATTATTCCGCGCTTGGATGCAAGTTGATTAATATGAGTTGATACCAATTTTATTCTTAAAGCAGGTGTATGTGTTCGGTGATTGGAAAAAGGAAAATTCTGGGACCAGTCATTTTCACTGGGTTAGTAGTACTAGTGTTAAAAGTGCAAAACTTTGCTTTATTTCCATTTCTTGGTAGATATAATTTTCTAGAATAACAGTTGTTTTATGTATGTTTATATTTTGTTAATTTATTTCAACATGTACGAATAACACATATATTCCCATAGATATAGGTACAAAGACAATACGACGCATATAAGAAATTTATTATATCAATAAGACAGCAGTTATGTATTATTTTTAATTTTGAGCTGATCGTTTTAAAATTAGTCCACTTTTGATATACGCAAATAAAAACATATAGCTTTCATTGTTAGTAGGTTAAAACGACGTAATTAAAAAATGATGTATACTGATTGTTGCAGAAAAAGTAAATATTTGCAACATGTGTGTATCGCCAAGGAAACTCATTTGTCATTTATAACCATGTATATATGTACATATATAGTGTATTGCGATTCGCATTGTCCTCTATTATTATCTGTAAGTGTTCGAGAGTGCTATATGAACAAAAGAAAATTTGCTGATTACGAGCAAATTTAAGTTAATCAGAATCCAACTAGTACCGCGAGTAATAACAAAAGAATCGTATCACGAAAAATCAAATTTGGTTCTACAAATGAAGGATAAACAGAAATAGCGGAGAAAAAATTGTTTTCCTTGACATGTCTTCAAATATCGCAAAAATCGAGATTTTTAATGCCAAATTCAAATTCAGCGATTAAAAATTTACAAGAAACTACGTTTGTATTTATAAAAATTAAAGTTGGTTTATCCGTTTGTTATACGCGGATAAATATTTTGTGGATGGCATTTTCACTGTCTACTTTCTTTAATACTTTGACTACCACGATGGTCATATATGACTGGCCATAGTTTCTTCTGTGACGCCACGGTGGTCATATATGACCGGCCATAGTTTCCCCTGTGACGCCACGGTGGTCATACATAACCGGTCATAGTTTCCCCTGTGACGCCACGGTGGTCATATATGACCGGCCATAGTTTCTTCTGTGACGCCACGGTGGTCATATATGACCGGCCATAGTTTCCCCTGTGACGCCACGGTGGTCATACATAACCGGTCATAGTTTCCCCTGTGACGCCACGGTGGTCATATATGACCGGCCATAGTTTCTTCTGTGACGCCACGGTGGTCATATATGACCGGCCATAGTTTCCCCTGTGACGCCACGGTGGTCATATATGACCGGCCATAGTTTCCCCTGTGACGCCACGGTGGTCATTGGTGACCGGAGCGCTTGAACTACTTACAATTGTAAAAACTGAATGAAAATTGTTGGAAGTCAGCTACGCCCATGCAACGATGACGACAGGCCTGTTAGAGGTTGCAGGCCAATACCGACCTATGGATATCAAGAGGTCGGTTTTGGGGGTTTAAAAGGGCCTGCTGTTCCTCAGAGCTCTTCACTCTCAGATCAGGAACAGTACAGATACCTTATATATTGTAACTCACAGTGGCATTAAAAAAGACTCTAGTGTTTTATTTGTATATTGCATAAAGTGTATAAATTTCACGTATATTAAAGCTTTATAAATACAATTTCTGTATAACTAAATACGGTTACTTCCCTGCACGCTAATCATTTGGGTTTCCTCCACGAAATTCCCAACAAAAATTGATAGTTAGTCGACTGTCAGCCGTTGCCAAGGTGCCACTGGTGGTCATCCGTGATCGCCAATGAGGTAAACGCTCCATTGGGCAAGAATATTCTCTTACATCACCAGTTTACTATTATTTTTCCATTATATGGAATTATTATATAATAAAAATACTCCCGTGGCGCCCTGAGCGAAACATGTGTTTTCGGCGTGGCAGTCAAAGGGTTAACGCGAAAGAGAGTGATATTCTTTGGTTTCCAAAAAATTTCCATATCCTAGGAAATATTACCATATCATTCGTTGAAACTTGGAAATTGTATATACATCACCTCAAAATTAAAGATAGCATATTTATACTATTTTTTTAGGCTATAAATACTCCCTTGATTTATTAATAATTACAAAAATAATAAAAGTCTATTGTCAGGTACCATTAACTAACGTATTCTATTGTACACATAAGTTTCAAACGTTAGACTGCAGTACTGCAAAGTTCAAAATGGCGATTATAACGTTTAGCTAAAGTATCTTTATAATAAGAACATGATCAACATATTTAGTACCTGTAACTAATTTTGAGATATCATTTATGAAGTATTAAATACTATAACATTTTCCTGGATTGTTATGAACAAATAAGTCATTTGCGTATATATGTATATTTATAATGTATATTTATGTGTATATATGTATATGAGTGTGTAGACGCAAGAGAATCGTAGTTATATACAAACACGCTATAAAAATAAGTGTATTTCATGCGAAAACAGTTTATAATTTGTTGGAACATAATACGAAACGAAACATCAGTAAAGTACATATGTTTATCAAGAAATTACCTTCAAATTTTTAATCTCTCTTATACTAGAAACTGGCAAAATAGGTGGAAAAAGACATGTCCTGTTTTAGAGTTCAATTATATAAAATTCGATTATATCGATATCGAAATAAAATTCACGTGATTATAGTGTTGCATAAACCTCGAGATCATGAATTTTTCAGATTTGAACCTCAAAGGCCGAGTCTTTAGGACTGACATCATCTGAAACTCGAACTCCAGAGCTTTAGGGCTGAGCATTAACGCTCACTTTTCAAACTTTATAAGATCCAACGAAGAAAATTAATAGCAATCCCTTTTTCGATATTATTAACCCTTCGCAGATGGAGCGGTTTTGAGTAAATTGTACCGTGGAGTCGAGCCACTACCGTAATAGTCATTCAGAAGTATCAGTGCTCGTTTCATTCAGTGCGTTCTTTTCGATTTTACTATTATACCCGCAAGTGAGTGCTGTGCTCTGAGTTATCGTAGAGCTGGTTCTACGCCGCACGAGGTGATAGCTCTACCATAACTTAGAGCACAGTACTAACTCGGGGGCACGATAGTAAAGTCGGAAAGAACATACTGAATAAGAATTGGGAAATGCTCATTTGAGCCCCCTCACCTCAACAAGGTATAAGCATACGAGGTACGGGGGTCCAATTACAAGAAAACAATCGCACACTTTCACAATTTGGCGTTCCAGTCGTGTCGGTTCGGCGGCGCGTCGGGTCGTAATCGAATAAACGGGCACCGCACGTCGCGTCAACATAAACTTCAAATCGGCTAATTTTTCCCTTTTTATCCTTTACTCGTCTTTATCGCCCTATTGCTCACTCCAACCCCGACCTTTCCTGCATCATCCTTTCTTCATCTTAGATCTGTAGACAACCTCCATTTACATCCTAATTCCCATATAAATATTGCCAGTCATCTCAAAATCACACATTCTTGTGCTAGTAGTTTGTTTGAAATGTCACTGTCAAAAGATCTGTTACGTATTCGGCCATGTCGTTCCACCCAAAATTCGTATGTAAATGTGTAACGAAAATAAAAACTTACTTGGAATGCAACACGGTTATGAGCTGGGATATACCAAGATCATATATTTTAAATCTATTAAAACAATTAATTGCCAAATTTGCGAAAGTAAATGTAAAATCTGAATTTATCTTTGTTTAGAGTATTATTCGAAGTTGTTCAAAGCTCGATATCCTTAATTTTAGTAGAGAATCGATTTTTTCCCAGATGAGTAAACTAAAATGAAATACCTTAATTGCGCAAAATTTCATCGAAATCGGCGGGTAACATTTTGGTATGTTCCCTTGTAATTTAGTTGTTGCGTTCCAAGAACGAACATTCCGAACGTCGTTGCTGCTTATCGGTATCATCTTCTATTCGGATACAATACAAATGTGTATATTGGTTTGTAACATTTAATATTTCGTTTCGTATATGTAACATCATAATGAATTCGCATATGCGTGTTAATGCAGGTAATCGCGAATAAATTTTTTTACTTAAGTAGCATAATTACCATTAGATCTGGATCCGGACTCACATTTACTCCTTATCAACTGTTCCAATCGTACACCTTGTTTTTCTAACCCTTGCTGTTGTAATTCTATTTCATCCAACTCCAATTTAACGTCTTTAAGAGACATTACTTTTATCTAAAATGCACAAAATACAAGTATTTAGAAATTTCTTTTAAAACTTCACATTCGGCGATTAACACATTGAGCCCGGCGCCGATATTGCTGTCCTTTCCTATCAGCCGGTAGCGAATGAGTGGGCGATGTTTGAGACAACTGACAAAGACAAACAGCCAGAAATTTGACAAAAATGTCATCACGTTTTGTAATACATGTAAAATCAAACCATATTTTTGTTTAGAGTCAATAAATATCATTAACATTACTACATTTATTTTTTAATTTTGATACTGTCGGTCCCCAGGGACCAACGCCGGGCTCAACGTGTTAACTCTTTGCACTCGATAGGCGACTCTCATTCACTATGGTTCGGTTGCGGGGCAAGAGGGGTATTCCACTTGCTCCGTCTATACTCTTGTTAGTAATACCCATTCTTTTGTGACACTCCCAAAACTACTATCCCCAAGTTCGGTAACGTGAAACGTTAACATAGGCGTAAGATATCCGCGAAAGAAACGTTACCTCAGAGTTAGCTTACAATGTATTGGAAGCACTACTACGCCAGGCAATAAACGAAACGACACCATATGATTGGAAAGGATTTTGTAAACACGTAGAAACACTGGAACACGAATATTGGACGAAAGATGGAATAATAGAAGACGCAACTGAGGACCTAGAATTGGAAATACAAAGCAGTGAGTCGGATAAGGAATCAGATGACAATAGCTCGAAGATTTATAAAGTAAAGGAGTACAAAAGTAATAATAATTAACATCATTTATGAAAATTGATTTAAAATTTAAGATGTATCTTTTATGATAAATTAATTATGTAATTGCATCGTACTAGATAACCGTTTAAAAAATCATACGATACAACATAAATATAAAATATATGTGTATAGTACATCACGTTTGCTGCATAATGCAATGAAAAGTTAATCAAGATGCTAATTAGTAATTAGTAATTGCAAATAATCGTGTGTTCATCAGAAGAATCTGAAGTTAATATGCTTTTGGGATGAGTCTACGCTCTTGCATCTATTTGTTGCGTCTGTCTCACTTTGTCTCGTTGCTTCGTTCGCTTTCTTTGTCACATGGTGTTCTATGACCGAGCTAATAGGAAGGGATCAGTTCTAGCAATAAGGGAAGCGTTTTACTCTACTTCTGCCATGATGTTAGAATGATTGGGCTGGTGGGGATTCGGTCCTACAAGTTTCTCAGATGACTTCTCTCATGCAACGCACAGTAGATGAGGCATACTTAGGTAGCATAGGGAACTTGTATTTATGGGAGGTTAAGGATTCACCGAGGACTTGCGAGAAACCTCGATCCTCTGTGTCTTCCATCTAGCGGTGGGGGTGTGAACGTTGGTCGCTACAAGCTCACCCACACGTTTGTCATCCATTCGAAAGGACGTGTCGAGGCTAGAGGAGCGAGCAATAAGCATGGCGGCCCTATATCCCGTATCCTATATACGCGTTGTCAATAAATATTTTCTCCATCTGATCGAATTGAAAACAATTTCGACAATTCCGTTACATAGTTTCTTCTCCAGAAGAGCCTATAGAATACTCTACTCTGTAGCAAATTCGTATTAGATAAAAAACTTTTCGTAAAAATGCAAGAATAATGCGTAGAAAGTACACTTGACAGCTTATTTTTAAACTTTGATGACCAATTATAATTATTCAGAAACACAAATAATTTTAATTATGGACATTGATAAACTCGGGATACTTTAACCTAATGTTTAAGATAAGAATGAACTTTCTAACGTTCTCACTTTTTAAGTAATACTTCATTTTAACACGTTCCCTGCCAAACCGTTTTTGCCCGACATGATCTCCAGGCCATTTGTTAATTTGGCTAAAAATTTATATATTATTACACAATATGTCATTATGTCATCAATCCATAAGTAATTAGCTTGTTTAGAGTAGTTATCACACGGTGTACCATCTATGGTACACGTGACGCTGCGATCAGTTTGACTGTAAAGATCAGTCATCAGTTCGAAAATTTAGCCTTTGAATCAATCGGTTCGCTGACCATATAAGTTCTTCAGCAATTATAGAATGATCAATGGATAGAGCAGTTGTCACTGGAGACATTGACATATGACAATACAATACTAAGTATAACAATTAACAAACCACTGTAGCCGTTTGATTAGTCTGGTCGCTGATGATTTAAATTTTGTAGCAATTCTAAAATGGCGAAAGACAAGTCCATTATCTCTCGAGATATTCACAAGTGGCAACATAGTACAGTAAAAGAACTAGAAGAGTAGTGACGTTTGCAGAATAAGTCATTTTTATGCATCCCTTGCTTTAAAAAAGTCAATCATTACATGTAATTAATAATTATTGTATATATAGCAATTAAACAAATTTATGTGCTTCGTTCTATATTGCACTTTGTATAATGCCTCATTCTTTTAGTGGAAATATATTTTACAGAATTAAATTTGTCATAAAGCATGTTTTCAGCGCATTAACATTTTGACTGCCATCTTGGTCATATATGACCGGCCATTGTTTCCCCTGTGACGTCATGGTGGTCATTGATGACCGGAGCGCTTGAACTACTTACAATTGTAAAAATTGAATGAAAATTGAAAATTAGTGCATTTTGAACACAACCGCTAATTAGAAAATACTTTGAAATAAAAAATGTCCCATTGAACAATTAAAAATTTTTATTAGAACACCAATTAAAAAAATATTCGAACAAATTTTGTATCTAGCGATGCACTATTTTTCCTATGGCCTCCTGAGCAAAATATGTGATTTTGACGTGGCAGTCAAAGGATTAAATAAATATATCTGCGTGTACCATTTATGGTAGAGGTGACACGGAACGTGTTAACCAAAAATCGTGCGTTTTTAGAAAAATTCACGATTTTCAAAAATTAACAATGACGGAGAAATTTCGATTACGAATTCGTGTTCGGGAAAGTAAATTCTACAAGAACTACCCGATGGATATTACAGATTAAAATTCGTGTTGAACACTATTATTAGATCATTTTTCAGTTTTCTCTTCTGAGGTTGCGTTTTATTTTCCCAAATTTATTAAACTGTCAAATTACAAATCTTTCTGTAAATTCGTGTTTCTGTAGCATTATTATTATTATTATTTTTTCTTGTACTTCATAGTGGTTGAAAGACATTCCGAAACGAACCGTCCGATAACAGGTATTACTTTACAGGTGGTACTTTAGTAATAATGTCATTTGATTATAGCAATGATGACGAATTTTTTACTTTGATGTTCCAAAATTTAGAAAAAACCTATAATTTAGAAATAATTTACGAATTATTAGTATTAGAATAATTAGTATATTATTAATTAGAAATAATTTTTTATAATTTAGAAATAATCTATAATTTTAAGCTATTTGTAGGTTTATTAATTCTCGCGAAACGGTAACGGGGTCTCGAAAGAAAAAAAAAGATGAGTTATATATTAGAATTATTATATATTAAAATAATTATATATTAGAATTGTTTTCAATTCTAACTGTTCGTGAAATTTAATTTAACCCTTTTCACTCAGCGATTGTTTCGTTACAGAAAAATAGTAATTCGAGGATTTTCTGTCGTAAAGTCGAGGATATTTTTAAAATGGTAAATAAGAAGTCGTATGCAAATTAGGACGATGAATTATTTTATTTCAACATTCCATGCATTGTTGAGTAATTTTAAATTTGATATATTAATTAACATCGATATTTAAAATCTGATTAAATGGCGACTGAGAGGCACCCCTCGAGTGCAAAGGGTTAACTTTCATGTCACTTATACGTTTAAAAAATGAAATTGCATTTTATAGAATCTAATAGTAATACAAAATAAATAAAAACTTACTTTTCTTCTACATGGCATTGGACAAAGTGGAGCAGGTCCCTTCTTTCGTTTCCATTTCCCTTCGATACTTTTGTCTACGTATGGTTTACAATGGAAATTTTCCCCGTACGACATGTGCGTGAAACTTTGTTTGTTCCTATTCTTTTCGTCTTTGTTAATCTTTTGATCTTCCCATATGTTACGTTCCTTACTTGTATCGTACGAATCATTCATAGAACACTCTTCAAAATTTGAGGTAGTTGGAACTGGTGGAGCTGGTTTTGCTTTACGTGATCTAGGTGTTGTATGTGTAGATGCATCCTGTTAAAAAGAGTATTAGATATTTTTAGAATCGTTTAGTATTTCTTATATAAGGAATCTTATTTTATTTTAGAAATAAGGAATAAACAAATTCAATGTGGTGTACATAATAATTAAATTGTTTTACTTTTAGCGCACTGTTTCGTGTTATACGTTATATATTTATGAAAATAATGTAAAAGAGCAACCATTGCTCTTATCTATGTATATGAATATAATCTTACTAAATTACTTCCATTATTTAATCTTAGGTTAGTAGGATATTCATGTACCATTTAAGGTTGCGTGCGTACACAACAGGTACAGCCTAAAAGTACAACACTATCGTTTTAATGTTAATTATTTGGCGATGGAAATTGATTTTGATGTGTCACTGAAAACTAATCTTCTGCAATTAATAATAAAAATACAATATTAATTATTAAAGACTGTTTAATACATTATTAAAGATAAAAATAATTTGTGTTATTTTTATTAAAAAACTATTGTTCGTGAACAGTTCTTGCTTTGCAGTCAAAAAGGAATGAAAGAAAGTATTGAGGAAGTTGTCGCTATATAGTATAAAAGTTGTATTTTTTAAATTATATTTTTGAAAAAATTATTTTATAAAACTACCAGCGTTTGTATTCTTACAAATTTTTAAGTGAAAAACTGTCTCTATTTTCTGGTATGAAAATATCTAAGTGGAAATTCAATCTAGGGATGTGAAAGAACAGGCTTCGCCCTTTATATTGATTCAACAAATATTATTGTACACAATTAAATCAATGTTATTGATGCAGTTGCTAAAAAAGCAGGGAATCATTAAATATTCATATAAACAAATAGTCTTGCTGATTTCTATTTGAATATAGAAAAGATGGATATTCTATTATCCGAAATATTCTGACATTCGACAGTATTGCCTGTTTATTAATTTAAATACAGGAGCATGTACCATATTAAAATTTATAATGTTGTTTAGACATACTGCATCCGGCGGTAACTGCTATTTCATATAAGTATTAAATGATAGATGATAGGATAAACACGTAAAGAGACTTGTATGATAAATTTGTTATGAAAAATTTTTCTGAGATAAAAAAGAATTGTTTTTATAAATGTATAACAACCAAAATAATAAATCGAAAAGCGAATTTGTGCAACATAACATGATATGTACATACATAAACTAAAAGTCGATTAATTAGATTAATCAGTTCAGGTCTAACACATGCTGAAGTTAAAACGTATGACATAAACATTGAGATATTACAAGAAATTTGATAATCCGTACACATGCGTCATACTCGCTATAAATTCACTTTTGTCGCGACATTTGAGCTGTTCACTGTACAAATTGATTAACTCCATAAAACAAAAAGTGGAGAAATGCAATGAAATAATGTATATTGTTTTTTAAAATTCCCTTTATAATTTAAATCGAAATAAATATCGTAGAATGCATAAATGCAAATGTAACTTTCATCTAACGGTATATAAAATTTATAAGAAAAAATAGCCAAAAGGTAATCGTTAGTAATGTTACCATTTTTATGTTACTGGAAGAGTTAATCGATTTGGCAAGTGAAAAAAGTAATAAATTTAAATTTTACTAAATTTTACTTAAATTCTGATAAGACGGCACTAAAAAATTCACCGTTATCATTTGTGGCTTGCTGGTGCATTTGAGTTGCATTATTGCAACGATTTACATTAGAGTACGGAGTTAATCAAAGTGACCTCTGAAATAAATTATTTATTATTCAGTGG